AGGTGGTTCACCACACCTTCTCCTGCTTGTAGCCACTTGTTCCCACCAAACTATGGCATAGTCGGTGAATTCTACTACAGCAAGTCTCAATTTTTGTGCATCGGTGTAGTCATTACAATCGAATACTAGCTCTACTCGACTCTCCCATTCAAGGTATGTATCCGGATCAGATTTGCCTTGGAAAGGAGGAATCTTCATCTTAATCCCTTTGATTGCATCACCAATTGCTCTTGTGTTTCTCTTCGGTCTCCCTTGCCCGTATGCCTCACGGTCCGAATCGGCATTGGAGTCACTAGACTCCTCCAGGGTGGATTTTCCCCTAGATTTCCTAGAAGAAACCCTAGATGAACTTAGTTGATCAATCTGCTCATGGATCGTTTCCAATCTTTGGTCAAATCTCCTCTGCATTTCCTTCCACATAGCATCCATTTTAAGTGATAACTGAGCAATGGTAAGGTCATTTTCCTGAGACATGGTGAAACCTGCAAAACTTGACAAATTGTTAGTAGAAAATGCCTCACTCGCTCCCTTAAGTGTTGCACTCCTCTCGTGTTTTCACTCAAGTGTTTATGTCCCTCTAATGCACTCACCAATTCACTCCTCAAGTCTCTCGATCGTTTCCTTTGAAGAAATCAAAAATTATCTCAAAAAAAAATTCAGTCAAACTTTAACCAATTAGCTCCCAAATCAAAGGACAAGAGTAGAACGGAAAACTCAATGGCGGATTTGGTAAGAAATGGAACATGGAAAATTGATGTACAAAAAAATGCCCAAGTACAATGATGGAGTTTCCCAAGTGTTTTACTTAATTTCCTAATTGATTTTTTTGGAAACAAGTTAGGTGTTGTACTTATTTGGAAAATTTCCTTAAAGTCGTCTAGCCAAATCAGAATTGTTACCAAAAGATACCAGATTTCCTTTCTCTTTAACCTTCCTAAAGTCGGCTGCTAACCAAGTGCCAAACAGTTTTTTTTGGCAGTTTCCTATTCTAACCGAAACTATCCTCTGAAAATTCCAGAATTCCCTCTTCTTAAATCCCTCTCAAAGTCGGCTAGAGCTTCCTAAAAATTTTCCAGAATCAAGAGCCTCTTCTTAAAGCCAAGCCTGCCCCCCAAAATTTTCATCCCTTACTCTCCCTCAAGAACAAACAATTCGGCCCCCTCCTCTTTGCTCCACACAAGGACAGTTTCGACGCTTGGTTCTAAATAATGGTTTCACAAGTTGATACAAGCGACGTCACTCAAGAATTCCCCAAGCGGCCTGCTCAGGAAATTCCCAAGAGGTTTACTCTTAAGCCAAGGAAGCCCCGTATGGATGCAAGGATGTACAAGAAACTTTTTGTACGAAGAGAGGTGCAAATCTTCAAGAATCAAGATGGTCAAGATCCTCACAAGTCTCAACGGGTGATACAAGTGATCAAGGCTCAAGGTGCTCAACATTTCCAAGAAGAAATTGGTCAAAATTTTTAAACCCTTCCTTTGCCTTAAATTTCTGTTTTTGCGGATCAAATTCAAGGAACAAAGTGTAGCAAATCAGGTCAAGTTCCTTCTTTTCTTTCTTGTTCGGCCTTGTCCTAGCCGATTGTGTGTTTCCTTTCTTTTTTTCTTTTTTTTTTTACTCTACGAACACACAATTACTCGGCTGTTTTTGGGTAAAATTCCAGAATTTAATGTCACTCCAATGTTCTCCTTCAATCCTCCAATAACTATCAAGACATGTATCAAAATTTTTGAGACTTCAAGATTAGTTTCAAGAAACTCAAGAATCCCTAGATTATTGTAGTCCCTCTTCAAGATTCCAACCCAAACAAGTTTAACCACAAAAATCAGTTTAGAAAATTAATGAAAACAACTTGGTGGAATAAACTAAAGTTTGGACAGATTTGGCAAGAAACTTGCGCTCAAGGAAACCCTAATTGCAAGTGAAAACCCTAGCCGTCGCAAATAATTTTTTTTTTTTGTACTAACCAGATTATCCAAAGACAACCACGGCTAAGCTTGGAGGCAGATTCCAAGGAAATTCACGCAACAAAATAACGCACGAAGTGTACAAGAATCAAAAGAGAAAAAATTCAATAAACGATGCAACAAGGAAACAAATAAGATGCGGCTGTTTTCTTTTTTTTTTTTGTAATTGTCACACGGATTGACACGACCAGATTTGAAGAAAATACTAGAAAACTTACGAAGAAAAGAAAAGGAGAAAAACAAAGAACCTCAACGGGATATACTTGATGTCATCGACTAGCTCTTGATACCAACTGATATGAGACGGATCTAGACGAACACCAAGTTGGGATGATTGGCGGAACTTTGACCCTTCTAGAATCACAAGCCACGAACTAAGGAGATTCCTTAACCCAAGACTAGCAAATTTAGTGAACCAAAGTATAGATAGAAGAACGCCACAATCAAGGAGACTACTTGATTGATAAGTTCGATGAACAACTTGAGATTAATTCTCAAGTATTCAAAGGAAATTCTCTTGAGGCAAGAGAGAGTGAATAAACTCACGAATATTTTTGTAAAAGATCTGAATTCCCCCTTTAATGAATGAAAACCTAGGCTATATATAGTCTTACAAGACTCAAGCCCTAGAATGTCCAATGGACGACCTTGCCCTTCATTAAGGGTGAAAATATCTAACAACTAATTGACTAAAATTAAGACTCTGAATTCGGCCAAAGTGAAGTGAAAATTGACCGAAATTATTAATGCTAACAAACAACTAATAATGGTAACTAAAACCCTAATTAGCAAGCTAGTGCTCCGTGAACTAGTCTTCACTTGGTTCTTCCATTTGAAGGAAAGTGTATAGAGTAGTTTCTCCATTATGTAATCCTTCAATGGTCCTCAAGTCATCACCAACTCGTTTTTGAATCATGCAAACAAGAGCTTGAAGTGATTCTTGAATTCTCCTAGCACGCGCTCTTGTAATTGGACCACTGGGTATTTGCATGACTTGAGCACTAGAAGTTTGAGCAGCCTTGAGCCCCTCCTCATTACCATTTCTCCTCCCAAAGTAGTGTTACAGTTGATTGTGTACATGGTACCTGTGTGGGCAGAGAGTGTGGCAAATCGTAAACTACATGGTGTACCAGTGGAGGCGAGGTAAGTAGTAGCGGTCTCTTTGTAATATTGCAATCTAAATTCAATTTCTGTGGTTATTTGGTTCTTGTATGGAAACTATTTATACTCTCATTTAATGCATTATACGTGTATCGCATAAAAGTCATTCATATTTTCATGTTCAAAGTGATATTTCATTTTGAGGTAGTACGAATTAAAGTGGAAGTTAGAAGTTAAAGTGATATTCATATTGAGATATTTCTTTTTGAGGTAGTACGAATCAAACTTTTAATTGGGTTGTCTTTTGCATGTTCAATCTAAAGTAGTAATAAATTCTAACAACTTTCACAGAAGAGAAAAAGGAAAAAAAAAAAGGACTCTCATCATTTGCTCATTAAAGAATTGATTTATCTTTCCTGAATGGAATTTTCCCATTTGGTTGTACGTTTGAACCCACTTGGTTGGAAAATGAAGAAGCATGATACAGCATTAGACTAGAAATCTTTTAAGAACTAACTAGAAGTAAAATTGCGAAGATGAACTGATGTCATCACGGGCTCCATATTGCTTACGTGCTGAAATGGAGTATTATCTCATCCTGCTGAAATTTTAACGAACTGACTTGAAATAACTCATCCCCCACCCCCTCCCAACATAAATTTTATAAAATTCTCTAGTCCCTATTGTCCCGTGCACAATGTAATACAATTATAGAGTTGTTTTTAAAAAATTTTGGACGTACTTAAAATCAGTTAAGAGGTTATTTCGAGGACAAATTATTCTTAAATCAGTTTCTAAACTTAAGGAGAAAGACAGAGCCTTCCGCGCATAGATTATTTGAGTAATTATATAGAACAATTATTGGCCCACTTTTTGAACTTGAATATTATTTCAAATTTATTTGAAAGAATTTCACTTCCAATGTTAATCAGAATATGACCTTCTTGAAAGCTGATTAAAAATGTTAGAAAAAGAAAAATTTTTCCTTGGTGAGGTTGGTTGGAAAGAATTGTCACAGTAATGAATTATCATCCTTGTGATATAAAGGTCATATTGCTAACGTATCTTTAATTCCATAAAGCTACTTTCGTTTTCATAATTGGTGTGAAAGGATGATGAAGACTCTGATGGGACATTTATGTACAATTTCATACTTTAAGTTAAAGACATTTTATGTCTAGTATATACATTTTATATATGTATACAAACACATATATAAACAAATTTATGAAATTAGATGTACACACATGAACACACTTATGTAAAAATATATACAGATATATACTCAATTATCATAGCTTGGAACAACCGCCGTGGTGCTAGGGGACGCAATTCGGACCTCATGAGGCAAGATGAGGAAGATGAGGCCTTACTTCTTATGAGTGCGTCGTTAATGTTAATGCATCCGTCTCTTGCACACGTAACCAACAATCAACCACTTCCGCAACATGATGGTTCATTCACCAATAGACAATGGGTGGAGCGATTACTCTACGGTCATCATAGACGATCAAGAGACAACATGCGTATCACGGTTGATAATTCTTGCAACTGTCCGATATCCTTGTCTAGAGATAGAACGTTTCACACAACTACCAACAGCGTGTGCCCATACAGGAGGCGTTAGCTATGACTTTAATGTTGGTGAGCCACAAGCATACGCACCGTGTGTTGGGGACTATTTTTGATCGATCCATCGAGACGATTAACCGAAATATAAAAAAGGTGCTCCGAGGCCTATGTCTATTTGCAGCTGAAATAATACGACTGAGTGACCAGACTGCAATTCATCCACGAATTGCAAACTCAACTAATTTTTATCCATGGTTCAAGGTAATGTGTAAAGAAGAGTGTTTTTTGGCTCGATGTAATAAGTTAATTCAAAACAGATGATTATATGTTTTGCATGAATATTAGGATATCGTAGGAGCGATGGATGGCAACCACATCCATGCTTGTCCTCCGACAGGCGAGCAAATGGCATATACAAAACGGCACGGGTTTAAATCACAGAATATTCTGGCAGTGTGTGACCATGACATGCACTTCATCTATGTGTATGCTGGATGGAAGGGAAGTGCACATGACGCGCAAGTATTAGGGTCAGCATTAGCATATCCGTCGGATTTTCCACTGCCGCAACCTGGTAGTTGATGGTCCAAATTTTTCAAATCAATAAATGCCATGCTTTAAATGCTAAACTCTTGCTTTTTATCGCGTTTATTAACTATACCAACTTTTTCAATTAGGCCAATACTACTTAGTTGATGCGGCATATAGGAATGTTCCTGGCTTCATGCCCCCGTATAAGAATGTGGGCCCCGAATCTCCGGCAAAGACCTTGTTCAATACTCGACATTCGCAGCTTTGCAATGTCATTGAGCGCATATTCGGTGTGCTGAAGAAAAGATTCAAATTTTTAAAAGGTCCGATAGATAATTTCTACATGAGCACTCAAATAACCATAGTCATTGCTTATTGTACGTTGCACAGCTTTTTAAGGTTGCACCAACCGGAAGATGCCCATTTTCAACGGTTCGAATCAAAAGACGTGCACTTAAATGAAGAGCCAGAAGTAGCAGGCCAGTACCTCAGCCGTTCGCATTGAACGTATCTCCTGCAGAGCTGGTGGAATGGAAGGCTAAACGAGACTACATAGCGACTCAAATGTACGCAGCACGGGGGCGACGACGCCGTTAGGTGTTCATCAAATTAACCGATTTGTAATTGTCTGTAAAAGTACAATCCATGTTTGGAGTGTACTTAAAATGGCCTTTTGTTCCAACTTCTAAATTAATCTATACGGTCTGTGTATTAAGTATGCATTGGTTTAGTCTAAACTTACTACAAAGTCAAAGTCAAAATTTTTGAAGTCAAAGTCAATTGATTACATTCAATAATGAGCACCTGTCCAAACGCTAATTTACACGATTTATTTACTATCCAAACGCCTATTTCAAATTTACGCAATCTTAAATAGTAAGGTAAAAATAATCCCAAATAATTTACTGTCCAAACACTCCCAATACTTGACTGCATTTTGCCATTTTTTTTTACCTTTTTGGTTCATTTTTTACAATAAATAAGTTCTAAAATGAATTCTACGGGAAAAATTGAATAGGAAGGTGTATTTTGGTGAATTTTTGTGACTGGCGGTCGGCGGTGGTCCAACAGCAGTACCACTGTTGACATCTGCCATGGTCGCCAACAGGAAGTTTAGTTTGGTCGAAGATGAGTGTAGACACCAAATTTTGAATAATTTGTATGTGGCATCTATTTCATGATTTTCATTTTAGATTGCTTGCATTTTAGTTCGTTATTGTGTGTTTTGCACTTTTAGTTGTTATGTTATTTTAGTTTTATTCATTTTTGCCTTGTTAGTTTGTTTCATTTGCTATTTGTCAGTTTAATTTTATTCACTTTTTAGTTTTAGTTTTTAGTTTTTAGCTTTTTTAAAGTTTAGCGTAGAGTTTTCTTGAAAAGATGGAAAAAGAAAGGAAAAAGGAAAATTTGTTCACAAAAATATGTTTATTTCTTTCTTTTGGCATTTTAGTTATTTTTATTAAGTTATTTTGAGAAAAGAAAAAAGAAAAGAAAAAAAAGGAAAAATGAAGAAAATTCGAAAAATGGACATTTTTGTTGTTTTTATTTGTTTAGTTTGTTTTTTTTTTATTTATTTATTTTCATTATTATTATTATTATTACATGGTTTTGTCATTTTGTTACTTTTGTTTTTATTTATATTATGTATTTATTTAAAAAAAAAACGCGCAGCATGAAGGCTGCGTTTTTGCCGCAGCTTGCAAGTGAACTTTGGGGAGCTCCTTAGCTGCAAATTTCAGAAGAGTGGTTGAGGATTTAGGGTTGGACGTCTGATATAAATAGCAAAAGAAAAGGCAGCCGCAAGGGGGAGGGAGGATAGAAAGGATAGAAAACAGACGGCAAAAGGTTTGAGAAGGAAGGAGAGTTTTGGAGAAAGGGGGGAAGATAGAGAGCGACGACCGCAAAAAAAAATCTGAAAAACAACAAGAGAAAACAGAAACTAGAGAGAATGGGCATCAAGTGACGGCTGCAAAACTTAAGAAAAAACAGAGGAAGGAAATAGAGGAGCTGGGTTTCGGGCAAACGGAGAAGATCGAGAACATCCAAAACTTTCGCCGACAAGTGCTTCATCAAGGTCATAGCAGTTTCGAGGAGTTCAATCGTTTCAAGCTCAAGCGTTTTACACAGCAGTTGTTTAGGGCTCCCAAGGTAACAACTTGCTTATCCTCTTCCGCCTGCACACCCCCTCTGTAATCAAAATCTGGGCTACTTGATTTTTGTTCTCAGTCTTGCGGTTATTTTATTTTATTTTCATGCGCTGATTGACTTCAATATGGGTATCATGTGGTAGCATCTAGGCTTTGCATTAGCGTGCATTCCCAAGACTGTTTGCATAGGAGTTATCTCTGTTTTCTCTTAGCCAGCAACAAACCCATGTTGTCTCTGGTTTCTTGAGTTGATGCTGGTTCAAATTTTCGATGTTTTTGACTCTGCCATGTTGCTCGTTTGCTAAGATAGGATGCAGTAGAAGTCTAAAAGATGAGTATGTTTAAGAACAGGGGTTTAGGATTTTCTATGATGGTTAACCAATGAATCCATGAGATTTGTTTGAGTCTTAGTTTGGTTATGTTTGTGTATGAAAGATTGCTGCAACAGGTTCGAAATTCTGTTTTTATAGCAGCAGTTTTTGAGGGAAAAAATCAATCTTTTAGGCTGAGAAGGTTTTCCAGAATGGCCTAAATTACCTATGGGGTTTTGTTTGTTGTTTCATGGTGTCCCGTGTGTGTGCTTGCTGCCACTTCGAGTAGCAAGGTGTGGTGTACCATTAAACTGCCTCAAGCAGCTGAAGGCCTGCGGCAGCCATGATTTTCTTTCTTTTCTTTATTGTTCAAGTTTTGGTTTTACATGTTATGTTATCTTTAGTGTTCGGTTGACATTGTTGTTCTGTTTGGTTGAGATTTTAGCTGTGTTTGGGATGGAAAACTTGCATTGAAAAAATTTCAGAAAATCTGCATCATATTGCTGAAAGCCTTTGTTGCAGAAAGGTTATTTTCTTAGTAGCTTGCGTGGAGTTGGCATGAGAATCTTTCTCATTCTGTTTTTACCATTCCCTTGTATGCATGATAAGCTTGATAAGAACTTGAGGTTGGGTTTGTGGTTTGAGATGGTTGTATGAATCTGCCATGCTATGTGCCGAAGCTCAAAAGCATTGTTTGCTGAAGCTCCCAAACCATTTTGCATGAAATTTTCCCAGCATTTGCATGTTTTCCCTGCTATTTTTTGGGTTGTTTGAATCTTGAAATTGTATGTCATGAGGCTTAGATTAGTTTTGTGATGTTTGGTTGAAAGGTCTTGATCAAATTTGGTGCTTTTGGAATATGAAATCCAAGTTTGGAAGTAAAATGCAGCGCACATTCATGTTGTTTGTAGAAGTTTTCAGCTGCAGAAATTGTCTTCCTACGTAGCTGCATGAATTTGCATGTAAAAATATTCTAAAATTTGCACTTTAACCCCTCAAGTTCCCCTTTGTTTCACTATGACCCAACCAATTGAATAATCTCTTCATTTTGGTCCTTGGTAATTTTAATTTTACAGCTTTATTGCTTGTTTGCTTCAATTAACTACTATGCTTTGTTTAAATTGCTTTTAATTCATGATTTTAAGAGCCTTACGACCATGTGAGCCCGTGTTTGCATGTTTCCTTTAATTTCTCAAATAAATTGGTACCTTGACCATTTCTTTTATTTTGGAGGATAAATAAGTGATTTCACTCCATTTAGAGCATCAATTCAAGGGGGCGGTATAATTTCTTTTATCCCTCTTTGTGTCTCTCCTATGTGACTCAACGTGCTAAGTGAATTGCATGTCTACTTTGCTTTCCTAGCTTTTCTTTAATTCCTTTTATTTATGTCATTTACTTTTTGTTTTCATTAAATTATTCTTTTAATGGGGTATGTGTACACCTCTTGGCTTGTAATAGATAGGGCTGTGGCGAGCAATTTGGTCCATTTTCCCTTTCCCTTTTTGTTTTAGTTAGTGAATGTAATAGGTTCATTAGCTTGATTGCATGCTTAGTTGCTACGTGTTAATTTGCTTTGTTAGGGCCTTGCATCTAGTCGAGCATGCTAAATGTTACGTGCTACGTGTTTATGAGTATTTGGTATGTCTACTTGCTTTCCATAGTGTGGATGAATGGAATGGATGAATGTACGTTTCCACTAGTCCAACGCTAGTCGGAATTCATAAAATGGGTTAGTCCAACGCTAGACCCTTAGGGATTTCTCCTCGTTAGTACATGTTTGCATGTTCATTACATGTCATGCATTCTTTAGTTTTATCATTTTGCATGCCCCTCGAACCCCTTTTCCCTCCATTTTAGGATTTTTGCATTTCATGCTAGTTATAGGGTTCATTTGCTTGAGAGTCCCCTTAAATATGGGATATAGACGAGTGTGGCTTTTTCTAAGCCTTAGCACGCTTGTATTCCCTCTATAAAAGGGCAAATTGAGTCACGATTTAGGTCTCCCCGTACCCAATATGCATACATTCCCTAGGATCATGCATCCACTCTACCATTTTATACTCTTATCACACTTTCATTTTTTTCCTCCCATTTTGCACACGTGCACCTTTATGTTTCTTCACTTGCACACGAACACTTTTATCATCACTTGCACACATGCACTTCATATTATCATTTCACATACCATACCTTGCCCCACTCACGTGCACACTTTCATTTACATATTTATTGTTTTTTATTACTTTTTCAAACTCATGCCTTCACATTGCATACATGCATTCCATTCATTTGCATCCCACTCGCGTTATTCGTGACTTCTTCAAAGGATCGTTATTGGGTTTCACGATTAATGTGATTGGCACCACTCAACCTTTGAAGAGAAATTTCCCCCAATACCCCTAGACCTAGGGTTTGCATTCATGTAGTGCATCCAAATGTAATAAATTCTTTGGTTAAAACAAGAAAATCTTTGATTAAATCATGCAACTAGCCTTGGCTAGGTCAAAGGGGTGCCTTGGATTTTATCCTTGCCTTCCCCTTTGTCAAATGTGACTCCCGAACCTTTTTTCTTTGGTTTACGTGGATTAGGAGTCGTTTAAAAGGGGTTTCTTACTACTTTTTCCTATTTTTCCTTTAAAAATTCATTTTTTGGTGACTTGGTACACCTTAACTCATTACCAAGTGGCGACTCCAATTCTTCATTTCAAAAACCCTTTTTAAACTATAATTTTGGGTCAAATCATCGCATTCTCAAACCCTATTTAGACCCATTTTTCACAAATTGAATCAAAAAATACATTTTTTAAACCCTTTATTTATTTATCAAAAATGGGGCGTGACAATGAGGAAGAAGAAAAGGGAAGAAGAAGAAGAGGAAAGAAAAAAGAAAAAAGAAAGGGAAAGAAATAGAAAAAGGGAAAAAGAAAAAAATGGGTTTGTTTCTTTTAATCTACTTTTTTTTTTGTCAAATTTCAACTTCTATAAATATATAACTGATTACAGCTGAGACTGCACAGCAGATTTACAAAAGACTAGCAACTGCC